AACTGGCCACGGTCCTCTATGCACAGGCAACAGTTCTGCGAGATGTTCTCCTCAGGAGTAAATTTTTTGGACTTGACCCATACAAGGTCGCCTACTTGAAACTGTGACGGGCAATGATGTTTGTTAGCTTGCTCTATCATTCTATGCTGGGTCTTCCTGAGGTTCTCTACCACTTTGGCAATTTCCTTCTCGTGCTGTAGCGCGAACTCCCTAGTACCGGGCAGTAGCCTCTGAATCTGGTCCCGGTTCAGTCCGTCAAACGGCCTGCGAGGTCTCAAGGACTTGTGTAACTTGTTGGGAGTGCGACAAGTGGCTAGATGAACACTGTCATTGTAAGCACTGGCTTCCCATAGAAGCATCTCGTCCCAATTGACTTGGTCCGGTCTAATATACATTCTCACCACTTGTTGCAGGTTCTTGTTCATCTGCTCAGTCTAACCGTTGGTCTCTGGATGGCGGCCAGGCGCCATCAGCAACTTAGACCATATACTTTCACAAGTTCCTGCCAGTTCTGACTAGTGAACCTGGTGTCTCTATCACTAATAATTGACAGTGGTAGAACATGCTCACTGACCCAATGATCAAAGAACTTTTCTAGAACTAGATCGCTAAGTGCCTCGGCAGGCAAGGGGACAAACACTGCGTACTTGCTAAATCTATCAACTATAACCGTGACTTGGCTCTTGCCGTGCCTCCTACTGACCCCAGTATCCATGAAATCAATGGACACAGAATCTTCGGGTCCTGATGGGACAGGCAGGGGTCTGAGAAGACCCAATGGGGCTCTCGTCTCAGCTTTGTTGCGCTAGCATACCTTGCAACTACGCACATATTCTATGCAATCAGCTTTCATGCCAGACCATGCGTAGGCGCGTATCAAGTTAGCGAGTGCCTTTTGCCAACCGAAGTGCCCTTCTGTATTGTGACATTCCGCAAGGATCAGACTGCGGATCTCTTTGCTGTTGGGAATCCATAGCCAATCTACGACGTCTGTCTTCTCAAACAGTAACCCATTAGTGGTGCGGTAATGAGGTTCACTGGCCGGATCCTCCTTGATTCTCTTGCTTATACGCATCCATGACCTTTTGCTGTAAGTCCGACCCTATATCCAGATAGTGAACTATAGCTCCAAAATAGTCAGCTCTCCTACTAAGGGCATCAACAACCACGTTATGCTTTCCTTTGACTGGCTTGAGCTCGAGTTGAACCGATCTACCTCGGCGGCCCACCTAGTAAGTTTAGGTGTCATCTTGGCCTCCGTCTTCAGCCACCTCAATGTCTCGTGGTCTGAATACACTTTGAAG